TTCTCAACATATCTTCTAAGTTGCCTGCGAGATAGATTGCCAGGGTGACTTTTGAGAAATTGTTTAGTGTTGGCTCAGCCCATTTTAAAATCATGCTTCTGGGGGCTGGGGATTTAGCTCAGTGGCATAAGCACCTGTCTTGCAAGCAGGCGGTTGTGAGTTCGATCCCCGGTACCAATAAAAATGAAAAAGACCAAAAAAAAAAAAAAAAAAAAAAAAAAAAAAAATATATATATATATATATATATATATATATGCTTCTGTTTCTCTGATACAGGTTAATGCTTTTCTTTTCTCAGTTCCTTGGTAAAATTTCCTTTAGAGTCTCTCCACACTATTTTTTTTTTTAATTTTTCACCATCTTTCAATCATACTGCTAGTTAATCTCTTAGTACTAGAAACTTTCTGTTAAGAAAAAAAAAAAAAAAAAACCTTCAACAAAATGCTAAACTCCTAGCTCTTGACATTAGGGTTCTCCAAAATTTGGTCTCTGCACAGGTCAAATAAATTTTCTTACCATTTTTGCATAGATAATGAACTATTCTAGCCTTTTTTGAATACTTACCCATATCATTTTTTCTAATATTTTAGCTTTTTCACATCAAAGTTATTTTGACTTCTACCCATTTATCACTGATACTGGGCACTTAAATCTGACATTAATACATCATGACGCCAACAAGTGTATATATATTTGCTTTTTTAAAGATATACATTGTACTTTTTTGACTTAAAAAGGCACTCAATAAATTGTCACTAACTTTTATAAATCTAAAATCTTCCTGCAAATTTTGTTGCCAGAAAGGTTACAATTTTAATGAGAAAATTGAATTGTTATGCTATTCGGTGGCCATTGTTATCTAATGGTAGCTTAAGTTCTAGTAGTTTAATCTCTATAGCAATTCATGACCTGTATGTGCAACATTAAATATTTATTTGTTGAATTTACTGAAACATACATCTAATTTCTTATTCTAGTATCTTAGGTGCAGTCTCAAAACTCAATGAGACTCGTAAAATGATTAGTTCAAAAATCCTTATGAGGTTAATTGAATCACATTCTTTCTCTTTTTTTATTGTATTACAAGTACCCTTTTAGTTGCCCTAGGACTTGTAAGTCATTGAGTTAGTCAATAAATATTTACTAATTGGTTATGTCAAATGTACATAAAATGTCATGTGAGAGTGCAAAAGAGTTGTGACAAATGACTTTCAGATTATCAATAGCAGTGAATAACTAACTGCTCCATTTCAAGTAGTGAGGAGATGAGTAGGCTTAAGCAGAAACTAAGAACGTTTGATTAGGAATAAACTGATTAATTTTAAGGCAGTAATTGTTCATCTTGGCCACTGTTAAGCAAAATCATCCAAAACCAGGAAACAAAGACAAAAATATGTTTCAACAATTCATTAGCATGATAAAGCATTCAACTATATATGGATAATGAAGAATTTTTTTTTAGCTCTCTACAAAAAAAGAACAATTGGGTTATTCTGGTAATTTTAATTAAAAGTTTAGACTGAATTTACATGTTCACCTGTGATTAGCATCAGGCAGAGATGTATTTTGTTCTGTTCAGAGGAAAAATGTTTTCAAAATTAGATTTCTTTGTTTATTAAAACATCGTCCAGTTTGTACCTAATAATCTTACTCATATATTCTTTGCTAAATTTGCTAGGTAATTCCAATTATATTGTTATAATTTTGAAAAAATCTTTATTGAGATATAATGCATATCCCTTGTGATTTCTCATTAAAATGTGTTTCATAGTTCAGTGATATCTAACATATTTACAGTTGCAAACATCACTATAGTTAATTTGAGAACATTTTTATCAGTCCAGAAAGAGATTTGATGCTGTTAGCAGCCATTCTCTATTTTATGTCAGTCTGCCAGCCCTAGAAGGTACTCATCTGCTTTCTGAATATATACTTTTATCTAAGATGGACAATTTACATAAATGGAATCACATAATATGTGATCTACTGTGAATTGAGACTTTGGGTTAACATAATCTTTTCAAGGTTTATCCATGTTGAAGTATATATTGTTGCTTCATTCCTTTCTATTTTTAAAATATTGTGAGTTTTTTGGTATGAATGCATGCATCATTTAGCCATTTAAAAGGCGATGTGCAGTTAAGCAGCTTTCACATTTTAACTTTTATGACTAATTCTGTTATGAACATTAGGTTTTGCATGGACATATGTTTTAAAATCTCGAGTGTACCCTGAAGAGTGGAATTGCTGAGTCATATAGTAGTTTTATTTTCACTCTTATGAGGGATGATTAAACTGTCTTCCAGAGCAGCTACCCTGTTTTCCTTTCATATCAACAATATATGAGGGTTCTTATATCCCTGCACTATTGGTAAATTTTCTATTTGTCTTTTAACTGTATCCATGCAAATGTTTGACTGCTATCTCATTGTGGTTTTGATTTATATTCTCTGATGACTAAGGACCAGGAGCATCTTTTATTATGCTCACTTGGAGACTTGAATATCTTCAAGAGAAATTTTTTATGATCATTTGCCCATTTTAGTTTAGATTATTCATCATTTTATGGTTTACTTGCAAATGTTAATATATTCTAGGAAAAAATCACTTATCGTATATATGATTTACAAATATGTTATCCTGTTCTGTGAGTTCCTTCTGACTTTCTTAATAGTTAAAGCCCCCAAATTTTAAAATTTTTATTCAATTTGATTTAACTACTTTTTTTTTTCTTTATTCTGTGTTTCAGGAGTTATATCTCAGAAACTACAATATAATCCAATGTCTCAAAAATTTACATATGGATATCCTACAGGTTAAGGAATTGTCCAATAAAATTTATTTAATGGGATATAAAATGTAAAGAATTTAATAGGCAACTACAGTCCTTGCAGTTTATATTGGACAGTACTTTACGTGGGAGTGTGTGTGTATGTGCATGTGTATGTGTTTACATGGATGTATGGATTGTACTTAAAGAAGCGTACTGTAACTTTATTGTGTAGTAAATCATGGACAGTATTGTTTAATGTGATTCATGGACGTATTATTTGTCTGTTTTTTGGTACTTGGCAAGTACCTAGTACTTCGTTTACTAGTTAAGAATTGAATTTCATGCCACATGGCTACTATGCATTTAGGAAAAAAGAGCCATTCTTATGCCTCAAACAAAACTGTTGGTTGCTGAGGGAACACACTAAGCAAGACAAATATTGCTAAGCAACACAGGTGTTTTTCAAAACATGTACTAATTTCCATTTTAAAATATTTTATTTAGTCAAGAGTGACAGTGTAATTATTTTGAAATACATTTTAGTATTCTGATGTTTTTAATTTTTTATCTCTTTTATTTTTTTTTCTTGAATTTTGAGGAACATTTTACTTTAAAGATTTCCCTATGAAATTCAATTTCTGTAGGGCTTACTTCTTTATTTGTTTATCAATCGCTTCTTTAGTTATTCTGAAATTTTGGATTGAGTGCTGGGTTTCTTTTATAATGAAAGTTTATTGATAAGAAGGTTAAATCAAGGACTTTTGAAAGGCTGGAATGTACTAAAAGATAAATAATAAGTATTCCTGGTTTATTATTGCTATAATTATTTTTATAGTTCTGGTGATTTAAGCAGGGCCTCCCATGTGTTAGGCACGTGTTCAGTTCCTTGACTCTATCCCTTATCTCGCTGTTACGACGCTGCTGCTGCTGCTGATTTACATTTATATTCATCAAGAATTTATTATATTTAAGTTGCTTCATTTGCTTCTTCCTAGGGAAAAAATATGCTCTTAAAAACCTTAAATAGTATCTTAAACAAAAGCCAAAGAAAAAATAAGTGCATTAAATCGTAATATTAAAGCCATACTTTTCTTGTATTGTAGAAGTTTTATACTTATAGAAGTATTCTAACAATAATTTCTATATATGCCTAATATAATTTTCCCTACTATATTGTAAAATTTTATTAATTTTCCTTAATTTTTATGCAATTTCCCTTACCTATTGAAGAATCCCATCTCTAAGATAATCATATGATGTTTGTTTTTTGTTTCTTCTTAGTTCTTCTTGACTGTTACAGTTTCTCTAACTTTTAAAAAAAATTTTGATGTACTTGAGAGATATCAGTAGCACTATTTGGGCCCACATCTTATTTGTTATTAGTGCAAAAAATTTTTCAATATTGAAATTATTTTTGATTATCTAGTCAGTAAATAGTGATATAGTTGTTGTGTTTTCTAAAATGAGAATTCAAAAATTATTGTGAAAATAAGAGGTTATCTGATCTATTTTATAATACAGTAGTCAAGCGTGGGGAAGGAGTGAGGAGAGGTGAACTTGTCGAGGTGTGGTCAAGGAGTCTCTGTAAAGTATGTTTCATGTCTGTCTTTGGTTAATGCACTGCTAGTTAAGAATGTTGATCAACAGAGTGTCGTAAAACAGGTCCGATGAATGAAGGGAAGGCTCAGACTGCTTTTAATTTGGTCATGTGGAGGATTATTAAATATAACCTTTGTTGGTGTTCTTATTTATTTATTTATTGGTACCAGGGATTGAACTCATAACTTCACATTTGCCAGGCAGGCACTTATGCCGCTGAGTTAAATCCCTGGTGATACTCTTTTGGAGGACAGATTTTAATCTTGATCAAACAATGCTACTTCGGTTACATTTTTTGAACCGAAAAGAAAAATGTAAGGTAACATATTAGGATGTTTTATGAATTAAAAGGATTAATAGAGTATATTTATTTTTTGATTTTTCTAAAATTACTTTACACATTAGTATATAGTATATTAAATATAGTATAATATAGTATAGTATCTCTGCATGTCACACACTGTGTTATTGCTAGTTGATGATAAATACTGATTTAACAATTTATCATATATACATTTTGACATTCAATTTTTAGTCTAGTTATCTAAATAAAAGAATAATGTATTTTTCATTATTTGATGTTAAATTAAGACACATTGTTATATAATAAAATTTTACTTTTTGTAGAACTATTATGGAGCTGCTAAGAAGATCTTTTCTGACAACCCACTTGGTCTTACTTGTGGAATGGTGTGTCCAACTTCTGATCTTTGTGTAGGAGGATGCAATTTATATGCCACTGAGGAGGGACCAATTAACATTGGTGGACTGCAGCAGTTTGCTGCTGAGGTATGTAAGAGGTACACTTAGTTCTCCTTTTTCTATTACCAGGTCCTAGTATTTGAAATTACGAATCATTGGTGTTTTATTGTTACACAATATTTGTAGTGTGATACACGGCAAAATTATACATATTCTGCAACAGTATTTTTTATTTGACAATTTACCTATAAAAATGAATTTAAAAAAAGTTATTTACAACTGCCACTACAGGTTATTATTTTGAAAGATAATAGATAAAGCGATATTCTGAAAGTAGAATTTATTTGTTAACTTTACATTGAAGTGCAGCAAGGAGACTCTTATGAAAAGGCTATATTTATGAACTGATTCTTTTCCTTGATCTTTACAGATTGAAATAATATTTCAACAGTATTTTGTCATTTCTTAGAGTAATAGAGGTTTGATATTTTTAAAAAAATCTTCAAACTGAATAATATTTTTCAACAACAAGAAAATTACTAGATTTTGTGAATTTATCAATTGGGAGTAGTTATGATATTTGGATTAAAATGTATAATGAAATAAAATGAATGTTCTTTTCCACTATTGAGCCCATAAATTTTGATTTTGGCTTTCTCTTTTATAAATCCTTTGTCAATGGCTTTGTTCCTGCCAAATCCTTATCCTCTTAGGGATTTCTTATTTGGAGTTGACAAGTCACTTTCCTTGCATTATTTCAATTATCAGTTTAAAATTAAATTATAATAATATTTTCTAATCTTAAGAGATCAATTGGCTAGAAGAAAAATTAAATGCTTGTCTACACTAGATTTTTAGTTAATGACTTACCTATCTGCTTTTGTCAACTTAAATACAAGGTATTCTTTCCCTTTAGGATCCCTTCTATAATATCCCTCCAGCTTCAGTTCACTTTGCTTTCAGTAATAAATCAGGGTTATTTCCTTCTGGCTTTCTGACAGGTTAATTCTATGGAAAGTCTTCTGGCAATAAGAAAATAGAAACAATTTGATGTTGTGTGTTGTTGCAATAAATTCTTGGATTTAATTTCTTCCTTCACCAAATTCAAAACTGCATTAGGCTTAGCTGACCAGTGTAAGTTACAATCTTTACAACCTGAGAAAATCATTAGTTGATGAAGAAAATTCACTGAAATTCTCATCTTCCTTTGTCCACCCGTTGTTTCTTCATTGAAACAGGCCAAAGTTGGATTGGCTACAGTAAAAGAACAAAACAAAACAAAAATGAGTCAAAATGTAAAATCATTGACTATTGATCTTGGCTCAAGAGAGAGAGAGTAAGAAGCGAGAGAGACAGGATCAGAAAGAAAAGAAGCTGGAGACAGAAACACTGTTCATATAGAAACTTTCACTTGGTTTTAATGAGCTTCTATTACTCTTTCACAAAGTAGTCTATTTATTTGAAGATCTACTTAAAGAGTTTTATGTGTACCTTCAGTATTGTACAGAATTCATCAGAAAATCAGTAAAATCTCACTATAACACTATTTGGAACTTTCTGAGCATCCTTCCTAATGAAGAATGAAACATTAAATTCCAAAAAAATCTATCTTGACTGAACTTAAGAAATTTATTTTTAAAAAATATATTTTCCTATTGCATTTCAGTTATGTTTTGTGTAACAGTGGTTTCAATATAAACAATAAATGAAAGTATCCCTGTTGGAACTACCAATTAAAGTTTTCAATTACGTTTTAATGTTTTCTAGTTAGGGTGCTTTGCTTCAGAAGATCCTGTATCCAAGGTCAAAGTGGAGTTTACCTAAATTTATCTGACTAAAGTTACTATGACGATAAACAAAACATTAGCAGTGTGGGTATCTTGGAAAAGGGTGAAGTGAAAAATACTATTAAAACTACTGAACTATTGACATGAATACTTAAGTGAAAGTGCAACTGATGCAAATGATTTTATGATTTGATTTATAAAACAAAGATTGATTTTTGACCTTTAAAGAAATAGAAATCTATTTTTCAACCAAATTAAGCAAAGGTTAGAAAAGCACACTAAAATAGAAAAACGTTTTTCAAAATTGTTTTCCTATAAAGGGTTATAAGTGATTTTTAAAGTATCAGCTTTGTAGGTCTACCATTATTGGTTAATTGCACACCTTATCTTTCTCCATTTGAACAGAAGCACATCGGGAAGGGACTGTCTTTGCAAAGAAACAAGTGACAAAAAGAATACTTGCAGTGAAATCCACAGCCCAGCATTGTGTGTTTTTGTTTTGTTTTGTCCCTGGGTATTTTCTCATCTGCAGTGTCAGTGTGATGAGTGTAACCTTCCTTCAGATGCTTTTGTGTGTCTTAAACAGGCTCCAAGACTCGCTCTGTGTTTGGAAGAGGCAGTTTTTTTCTTTTAATAATATTGTATTTCTGTAATAATACAGCTTCTTTAAAATAAAAAACTTGGAAAAATAATTTGACAAGGATTTTATCAGTCTCTGATGGTTTTAAAATTTCTCTGCACAAGTATAATCCTTGAAAAATTTATTTTGAGAATTTTTTGAATATTTATCTGAATACTTAAAAGTCATCTTTATTATATTTAATAACAAAGTAGATTTTCATTCCCTCTCAAATTTAATGTGTTGTAGGAAAAAGGATAAACGAGAATGGATTCTTTACCCATTACCTAAAATTTGAAAAAAAGTGATTTTAATACAAAACTGACTGTATGTCAACTCATTTCTGTGCCACTAATACTATTGATATATAAAGTAGAATCAACTGCACTAATTTTCAGTTGCAACTGAGAAAAATTAAAAGTTACTTTTAATGTTTAGGTAAATGTTAAAATAAAAGAAGGCCAGAGTTGACTCTTAAAAATTTCTCATTAAATTCTGAATTTTTAGAATCACATTAGATTATGAAATTAGTGTCTGAATATCATATTCATTTTTCACATTAAACATGTAATGAAAATTCATATTATGTGTTAAATATGCTGTTGATCATGGTATATGCTTCTTGGAACTTGACATTTATCTAGGTTTTATTATTTTAGTTAAGAATGGCACTAAAAAATGGAATTCCAGACTTAATTAGATGACTCACTGAACAATATTACTTTTATATTTTCCTTTAATTTTCTTCAGCATGTTTTAAAATTTCTCCTGTCTTTGGGATTACCCAGATTTATCCCATCAGCCTGTATAACTTGTAAGAATGCATATTTTGATCCAATAATGAACAAAATTTATTTAATTTATTTGCTGTAAGGTAAATGTCTTCAACAGTTAAAATATTGAACATTTTCATATTAGTCAAACACTGATTATTGAATTTGGTCTATAATTGTAAGTTCTCAATAAATAAGGTAGAGTTACTGTGGATTTATCCAAGGAGTGTTCAAATATAAGGCATTTTTATATGATGTTGATCATCACTTTCATCAGTAAATATTTGATTTGTATTTTGGTCCATAATGTGGCATATTTTATGAAACAGATATCTAATTCTATAACACAGAGTCCATGTGTATTTTCTTTTTATCTAATATAACTTAGTTTTATTTTAAACACAAAGGATAAAAGTGATGCAGAATTTTTAAAAAATAGAATATTAACACTAGTTAATATATTGTGTACTATTTTCTTAAAAATACATGTTCAGATTACAAAATTTAGACAAAAATGATAAAACAATGAAATCTCAAATTTCTACTTGATTAACAAGATTAGTAGTATAGTTATATATTACACACACACACACACACACACACACACACACACGTATAATGTTTTCCCTTCTTTCTTTTCTCCTTTCCCCTATTCCAGTTGTTCTTTACTTTTGAGCACTTTCTTTCCCTTTAATTTTCATAATATCTGTTGTACCTTTTGAATCTTATTTCCTCTGTCAATTTTATTTGCACTGGAGAGACAATACTATATTTACACATGCAAGTCTGTTTTATTTCACTTATGAGTATGATTTCAAGTTGAATCCATTTATCTGTAAAACCCTCAAATTTATCTTTCTTTATAACTAAATAATAACCAATTCTATAAAAATACTGCATTATTTTTATTCATTCCACAGTTGATAGGCATTTGTGTTGTTTCCAAGATTTAGCAATTCCAAATCATGCTGCTATAAATATGAGTAAACATATATAGTTGTGGCATTGATGTTTTCAGTTCCTCTGGGAAACTGCCCAGAAGGGGAAGAGCTGGATTGAATAGGACCTCCAATCCTAGGGTTTTAAGGAATCTCCACATTGAATTCCACAGTGGTTGTATCAGTCTGTGCTACCATCAACAGTGGAAAAGGGTTCCTTTTTCCTGACAGTGCCACCAATATTTGTTATTGATTGATTTTATGATCGTGGGTATTCTTTCTGGAGTAAGATGGACTCTCGTTGTTTTCATTTGCATTTCTCAAAAGATCAGTGATGCTGAACATTTCTTCAAGTATTCATGTGTATTTTCTTTATTAAAAAAGTCTGTTAATTGAATCCATTTGGGTACAGACTGTTCCCAGATCAATATATTACACCTATAATTTATATAACATGTGATTATGGGTGAGTTTGTTTTTATTTTGGACAGGGAGTTGAGGATTGCTTTTTTTTACATTGCTATTTTTTAACTATACACTGATACCAACAGTATTAATTACTATTGTTTCATGATCTATTTTGATATCTGATTTATTGTTTTAATTTTTATATTTTTTCAAATTTTATTGACTGCTTTGTGCTTTTACTGCATAACATAAATACAATATTTTTCTTATAAGTGAAAAAATAATATATTTCCAGGGATCTATAAGCATTCATTTCTGTATTTTTCAGGGAGACTCTGTTCAAGTAATTGCTCAGTGTATATAATCAAATAAAAAAGAAAACTACTAGTACAATTCAAACAAGTGTTAGGAAAAAAACTAGGAACACTTAAGTTATTTGTTAATAACATTTGTGCTTAAACAGTAGAATATTTTTGAAGAATTGTCCATAAAAGAGAAACATATTTATCCACATTATTATGTGAATCTCTTCATAGGGAAGTTGTATTTCTACTGTATCTTC